TTTGGTTCTTGGTTGGCGATGCTCTTTGGGGGGATGATGGAACTGTGGCTGGCTGGAGAAGAGGGGTCGCTGGCGCGGGTCTTTGGTGTCATGGCCAGCCGCGCGCCTGGCCCAGCCTGGCCCCGGCTCTCTCTGTCTCATCTGTGAACACGCGAGCCAGCAGCTCCTGTGGTGCTGCTGTCACGGTTCACACTCTCACATCACGCCTCTGGTTACAGCAATGACCAAAACCAGTAAGAACTTCCGTGGTTCCCACTGCATTTCCCACCAGGTATGACAGTGGAGGAAGGAGAGCGCGGGTTGTCTAGCACACAGCCAGGCACACCTGCTGGGGCAGGGGCAGCCCTGGTGCTTGTAAATGAGGGGCAGGTGAGGGCTCCAGAAAGCCCTGCGGTGAACTGGGTGTGTGTTCGAGCAACACATTATAACCCAGAGTGTGTATGGTAGGGGAAGACAAGCATTACCAAATGGTAAATAAAATTGCACACAACTCTGCTCATGACATAAATAACGTGATACCTGACATGAGCCATGTCCACCCTGAAGAGGGTGTGTCCGTGTGTGTGTGTGTGTGTGTATGTGTGTGCGCGCCATTTAAATAAATTACAGAGCAGAGGCAGAGCTGGGGGCGCTGACTTTGCAGCTTGCTGGTCACGAGCACAGGCCTGGACTTTCAGTTGGTGTGGAGCAGACTAGGCAGCCTGTGGCTTTCACCTCTGGGGTTTGTGCTGACTGCACTTTGCTAGTGTTAGGACAGAACTGACTTACAGGGCACAGATGGTATCAGGAGAGTCAGAGAGTTGATTGGTGTGAAGAAGGAGCCCACACATTTTGTGTCAGAAATGCTGTAAGTGAAAACATTTTGGAGGTGGGAACGCGTGTGTCTGTTCTGACACACTGCTGCCCAGGAGAGCCAGGCCATCAGCACTCGCTCAGCCGGCTCTGTTCCAGGTAGGTGAGCTAGCCCTGAAACTCAGGGCTCCTGCTGATGAACTCACTCTTCACCCTCGCTCTCCTGTTGGCCTGGTTGGATTCTCATGAGTGTGATGGCCTCAGCTGCTGGCAGTGTGAGACTTGTGAAGAAACACAGGGCAGCTGGTAGCTTAGTGTCAGCTGCTTTTGCCCCTGATTGAACCTTATAGCTGGGGCTCTGCCTCCCGTTCTCACGTGGATTAGGAGAAGGGTGCCTGCGATCCACACTGCAAACAAGCCTCGGGATACAAGACACACAGACACGGCTGCCTCGCTTTCACGGTGATCTTAACAGGTTCATCAGAGAGAGACAGAGAGATAGAGCCAGAGCCAGAGAGTGAGAGACAGAGAGACAGAGACAAGACAGAGACAGAGAGAGAAAGACAAGAGACAGAGATGGAGAGACAGAGACATAGATAGAGTGAGAGATAGAGACACAGAGAGTGAGAGATGGATAGACAGATAGACAGAGAATAGGGTATGTCTGTATATCTTAGGTCAGTGTTGGGACAAGAACCCAGAAAGGTGTGAATGTACCTATTTATCTGCAATAGTTTTGATCCCAAGAACACAGAGTAAAAAGCTGACAGTTACAGCAACTAAAATACCCCACATCACAGTATGACTGGTGTGCAAAACACTTATCATCACTGGTTTAAGTCAAAAAGTAGAAAAAAACCGATTTGTGGAATTAGGTATTGGCGGGGCTTTTCTATGTCCGCTTTTGCTCTTCATAATGGTACGGAGACTTACTAGAGCTATTCAACAAGCCTTAAGCTCTCTACCTGGGCAGACACGCATCTATTCTAACCCAGTTGTGCCAGTCTGGCAACTCCCAGCCACATGCCCTGTGCCTTGCCATCTCAGTCTTGCCTTGACCTTCTGCTGTATCTCTCTGTCCTCCTGGTGACTTCTCTCTTCCTCTTCCTCCTCTGGCCTCAGGTAGAGGAGAAGTCCTGCCTACTGTCTCCTCTGCCCAGTCATTGGCTCTTCAGCTTCTTTATTAACCAACCTGAGATAACTGGGGAGCAATGTTTACACAACATTGAGATTCTTCATAGAAATGACAATGTCCATGTGGGACTACACCAGATCCCGGGCACGGAAATCAGCATCTGAATGCACAGTGCACAAAACATCCCCCAGCACAGATTTCTATAAAATGATGGTGAAATAAATAAGATGTATCTATAAAATAAAATATCATTTGGTTGTAACAATATGAATACTGCTTTAAGCTTCATCATGGGTGAAGCTTGGAAATACGTTAAGTAGAAGAAACTTGTCATAAAACACTACTCATTGCCCACTTTAAAAGAAAATGTATTTATGGGTATGGAAAGGTTTTTGATAAAACTTAAAAACCATTACTTCTTGTTAAAAAAAAAAAGAGAGAGAGAATGAAAAGATACTTTCCAAAAGCATACAGAACATTTTCCCCAGGCCAATAGACAGCAGAATATTTAATGATGCAAACCACTAACATTCCTTTTAAAATCATGAGTAGGAAGCATACTGTCATGATTAATTAGCAATATTATATAAGATATGGGTAACTTATTTAATATTAATGAAGATTAGGTAGCAATTGAAAAAGAAGAACATGTTATAAAAATTACCTGCAGAATATGCTGTTGGTATAATGTTCTTGCGGAATGTATACAATTTACCCCTGTTCATTCAAATGCTGATTTCTCTACCCCACTGTTTTTAATCCTGTTGGTATAATGTTCTTTTGAAATGTATACACCTTGCCTTCGTTCATTTAAGTGCTGATTTCTCTCCCCGGCTCTGGTTTCGGTCCAGATACTGTATTGTGGTGCTTATTCTAAGCATCACCTGTCTCATCTTTGTGTAAACTTCCAAGTAAAGCAACTAGCCACAATGTTGCTGCAGGGAAGGAAGTAGGTGGGAGAGGGGAGGAGCTGGAGAACAGGAAAGAGTGGGAGGAAAAAAGGCGGGAGAGCTGGGAGAGAGAGCTGGAGGAGAGGACGTGGAATATGAACCAGACCTAAGATTTCACAAAAAACAAGTATAATAGGTAAAATCTAAATGTTGGGAACCTATGAGGACTTGGAGGTTTAAGAGGGAGTAACTATTGCCCAGCATTGTGTTCTAGGTTAACTAAATAAATTCAGTCTCTGTGTGATTTGGTTATACAGCTGTGTAGGACTAACAGCTGTTTTACCAGAAGATATATCAATAGTAAATATTAACCACCACCTACAACACAATCCAGACATTGCATTGTGATGTTTATTCTAAGCATCACTTGTCTCAAGTTTGTGTAAACGTGCCACCATTTGTTCTCTGTATTTTCAATAAAACAAACAGTTAATGCTGAGCAATGGAGAGAATAGGGGGGACATCCTTGTCCGGAGGGGAGGAGAAGGCAGGGAGTGGGAGGAGGGGGAGAACAGAGATAGGCAAGAGAGGACTTGGGACCACAAGGGAGATGAACTGGACCTAAGATATGACTAAAAGCAACTGTAATGTGAGAAGTCTGAATGGAAGAAAACTATGCCGGCTTGGAGGTTTAGGATGGAGTAACTATTTCTCAGCATTGTGCTCTAGGTTAGTTAAATAAATCCTAGTTTCTGTGTGGTGATTTGGGTCTAGAGCTGGTTTAGGAATAACCACTATTTAACTGAAAGATAAGCCAATAATAAATACCATAACCCACAACATATGGCGTTCCAACATGTGGCAGAATTTACAGTAATCTAGCAAGAATTTACACAGAAAGTAAAACTATAGAGCAGTTTTTTGTTTCTGTTCCTTAAAAACAAAGCGAAGGCAATCCCTAAACTAGGATCTCACAGATTCGTGAGTAGACAGACACTCTGCAAAGCAGCAAGGTCTCCAGCAGGCTGCAGAAAAACAAAAATTGTTACCTCCAAACCCCAGAGAGGCAGTTTCTGTAGGTAGGGGAAAAAGTGGCTCTTTAACAAAAAAGCTTCTCAAAGCCAGACTTTGCTAGACAAAGCAGAAATTGAAATCCCTTAGAGAAGGTGAGAAGGTGTTCTTGCCAGTCTGAGGAGCAAAACCGTTTGTGAACCCATTAACTTCCCAGAGTGAGGAAGGGGTCAGGATCCAGTGAAGGAAGCAGAAAAAATACCTCTCCCTGAAAGCAGGAGCCAAAGACAGACTAAGAAGCCTCAAGTATTGAAAGGGTTAGACTAACTTTGTAACCTGTATGTCTTCTAAAACCTATAGTTTTGAGTTTTAGGTCCAGGTTAAGCTAAAGCCTCTTAGTACCTTTCCAGAGAATGGAAAAATGTGACCCTATCTATGAGGACAGATAGAAAAAAAGGCAAGCAAGCAATGACCTTCACTCAGCAAAAAAAACAAAAACAAAAACAACAACAACAAAAAAAAACCTCCTGTCTTTGAGATAGCATTTCTTAGCAACAAACCTAGACTTCTTCTGAGTAGCTTTTGACCTCCAGCCAAAAGTCTGTAGCCCCTAATCTTCAAGGATGAGCTAACCACCCCCACCTTCAATTGCAGCTGCATCCACACTTGGCAGGACTGGCCAGGCTTGAGCACCTAAGACTAACCAATTATCTTACTTTATAGCTTCCTCATCTAATCCTAAATTGCCAAGACTGCAACTTCAAATCTCCCGAAATTTTTCTTTTAAAAACCTAAAGGCCTTTGTCTCCCGGTGCCACTCTTTGCTGACCAGCAGGGGTGACCCCATTGCGCAATGGTTAATAAACCTCTTGCTTTTGCAACGAGTCTTGGTCTGGGGGAGTTTCTGGGAAGGGCGCGATCTTGAACTCCTGAGCTGTGAGACCCCAGGTCTTACAGTATCTGAACTGGTAAGGTCTAGAAGAAAAGCTGGGAGGCTGTTTAAACTGCTTTCTCAGGACAAAAGCTTACGTAAAGGTAAAAGGCTTGTTTAATAGGTCCAAACTATGTGCTCTTTCAAGTTAGACAAGAACTGAACCAACTTGGGGAGGAGTAGGGATCTGGTAACAGGTGGGAGGCAAAACCATTCCTCTTTTTTTTTTTTTTTTTGTGAGCTGATAAACAGGAGAGTTATGAGCCACAGCACAGCACAAAGGAACACAGACGGAAACAAAACTTATGATCAGGTAAATTGTTTATGCTATACACAAATTTTAAGTAAACAAAGTGAACATAATGGGAGAGACAATAAAACAGAATTCTCGGAGCTTGATAATCTCTTCTACGGTTTTAAGACAGAAATCAAGGAAAATTTAGAAATTATGACTATATAACTTTAACTCAATTTAACTTTAATCATTGGACCAGCCTTTTATGTCTTCTCAAAGGTAAAGGTTTAGAAAAGATACCGGAACAACACAAAGAACAACTAGAACAATATAAAGAAAAATTAAAAGTTGGAAGCAAGGCATAAAACAAGAGATTCAAGAGATTATTGAACAAAACAACAGAGAGTTAGGTGTGAAATATGGGTACAGACCTTCAAAGAAGAATTTAGAATACTAAGTAAAGAAAATAGTCAGGCAGAGGTGAAAGATAAAGATAAAGAAAGCCAACCAAAGGTGGTTAGAGAACAAACGTTAGCTTATCCAGTCAGTATACAGCAGAGACCAGCAGATGATGATCATCCACAGGATTATCACGAAGCTGAATGATGCCCTGAGGAAGTGCTAGATCTGAGGAAATTTAAGCAAAGTGTCACTAATTTTGGAATGCATTCACCATGTGTAAAACAAATGCTGATTTCCTGGTCAATCATAAGTAGAGTAATCCCAAAAGACTGGGAGGATATGGCAAAGGCAATACTAGAACCTGGGCCAAAGGTGTTGGTGTTAATAAGGAACAGCTGGTTGGTGATGGCTGATAGGCTGACACAGAGATACAAGCTGTATATAATGAAGAAACCTTAGCAGTATGTCGCCCAGCAGCCTTAAATGCTTGGGACAAGGTTGAGGAAACAGGAAAAAGGCTTGAGCCCTTCTCGCAGGTCATGCAAGATCCAAGTGAAACATTCACTAACTTTTTGCAAAGATTGACTCAGCTGTGGATAGAAGTATACCAGATCCACTAGCTAGAAAGGCACTTATAGAATCTTTGGATTTTAAAAATGCTAATACTGAATGCAAAGAGGCAATAAGGCCATTAAGAGCGAGATCTGCACCAATAGATGAATGGATTAGAAATACGATTGACTTCAGACCTTACTTACCCAGTGTGACCTTGATAGAAGCTATCCCTAAAGACCTTGGGAAATGTCATAATTGTTGTGTGCAAGGTTACTACAAAGGAAATTATAAGGAAAACCAAAATGATTAAAAAAGGGAGACTATGGTTCCTAAGTTATGCAGAAGATGTGGCAAGGGGAGATATTGGCCCAGTGAATGTAGAGGAGCAACAGATAAATGGGGTAATCCTTTATCAAAAAATGTCCAAGGGGGCCTCTTGAAGGCCCCAATACAGGACAGTAAACACCACTGCTCTGGGAATAAACATTAAAAAATCAGACAGTGAGGTCAGAGCAAGTTCTATAGATAAATTTAAAAAACAGGAAGGAAACAAAAAACAAATTTGCTGGCAAACCTCTATAGATAATCAGTGGCTAAAGTTAAAGATAATTTTAAATAATTTTGAAATTGAAGGCATGGTGGTTCCTGGGCTGATGTCACAATTAATCACTCCTAAATCCTGGCCATTTCAAGAGGTGGCTATCCTCTTGAATTCTAAGGAGTTGGAACTTTAAGTAAAAGAAAGTGTCAGGTGGCTTAAATATACAGGAACAGAAGGTGAAATAGGAAAATTATGGCCATGTGTGGCTGATATAAACATAAATTATGGGGAAGAGATCTGTTATAACAATGGGAAACCCAGATTAACATCCCCCCAATTTCAGAGGTAATACTCCTGATAAAGAAGTTAAAATTATTAAAAATGCCATCCAAAACAGTTACAGATGGTCTAGGCTGTCCATAAACAAAATACAACAGAGGCTGTGTTTTCAACTTCATGTTGGAAAGACACTGCTGATAAAACACCCAAAGACTTAACCAGTAAGGTGGCTGGCTGACCAACCTATTTGGATTGAACAATGGTCTAGGAATAAAGAAAAAATAAAGGCCATAGAACAGAGGTTGGGGGACTCTTTGAATCAAAATAGAGAGCCTTCAGAGCAATCCAGTCTGGTACTTACAATAACACTAAAAGAGGTGGTTCCAATACTTTTAAACTGCTATTAAAAACTGTTTAGGGTATTAGGTAATACCCTATACCCTAATAGGTAATACCCAATACCATTAGGTAATGCAAGTTAATTGCTAGTAACTCATAGTCATATCAGATACTAGTCTAATTCCTCACAGGAGTATACATCCTAGGTTTAAGACATAGATATGATTTTGTAGACAGATCAATTACATAAAGATAGGTGGTCTTGAAAACTCCAGAGACCTACAGAATATGGCATTTAAAATGTCTTTATTATTTTAAAGATTCATTGACCATGAGACAGGTCATCTCCTGGCAGCACCCCACCTACCTCAAAGAAGATGATGAGCATTAAAGAACTTCCATATGGAGACGGCTTCAAATGTGACAAATGAGCCAACTGGACAAAAAGAAAATGCCCTCGTTTCACAACAGACAGATTTCTGCTAAAAAATGGGCAAACTTAAATGCAGGAGAAGTCGACGGCTGAACTCTGCCAAGACAGGGTAAGCAAGTCCCAAATAGTTCCTGCTTCACATATATGCCTTTCAAATATTCTGAGCCAGAAGGCTAAAGATGATGCTCCAACGTTATAGAGAGTTTTGGGTGATTGTTCAGGCAGCAAACTGTCTCTGTCGATTTTTTTTTTTTTTTTGGAAGCTGCTAACATGCACTTCCTGTTTACTCCAGGAACTAATTTTCTTCCTTCTCAAGTCTCTGGTGGGGTTGAAGACCAAATAGTTATAGTTCCACAATTAAGCTTAAGTTGTTTAGAATTTAAGAAAATGTTTTCATATAAGTAATACCAATAAGGGTAAAAGTTATTTTGGCATAGAACTCTAAACTTGTCAAGATAGGATAATCAGATACTTTCTCCTAAGTTGCCAAATACACATTGCACATGTAAATTTTACCTAATAGTTTTCATAACTTTTATAATTATTATTGTATTAAAAGAAAAGGAGCCTTTTATTGGACTTAAAGGGGGAAATGTTGGTATAATATCCTTGTGGAATGTATACAATTTACCCTTGTTCATTCAAATGCTGATTTCTCTACCTCACTATCTGGTTTCAATCCGGACATTGCATTGTGATGTTCATTCTAAGCATCACCTGTCTCAAGTTAGCATAAACATGCCACCATTAACACTGCCAACACTGTGCCTATTATGCACAGATAATATATGGGAAAATTAACGTTAGTTCTTTATGATTCTATTGTGCTAAGATTTACAAAATATGGAAAATTCTGCTGTATATTTTTGTGAGAAGACAACACTGTAAAGATTTGAAATCATTAAATAAAATCCAATTTTTTTAACCCAAGAACCCATCAAAATGGTACCAGAGTATGTAGGGAAATACAGAGGAATATAGCAGAAAAAGCATTTCAGTAAGGAAAGTGACCTAATGTCTTTCCAGTGGAACCTCTTCCTCAGCGATAGGCAGTTCACACACTAGTGAAAGACCGCATTGAGATGACAGAGTGGTGCTCCCTGTGACTGAGAATTCCTACAACAAACTGTAGGCATAGGCTGATGGGCTAATCGATATTTCAGTGACGATGGGCTTGGAGTACCACTGAGCCGAAGGATTACGGTTTATTTTCATCTATCTTTAGCTCTCAGAGTGCCATTTGTTTTGTGTACCTTGGTTCCAGACCTAACACCCTAATGAACAAATAAATCCCTCTGGAATGTCTGGACTTGACAGAATTTTCTGCTCCACCAATGGAAGAGCTAAGAATGATGCAGGATAATGTTTGAGTCCAACAGCTGAGCTGCTCCCATCTTGCTCTAACCCACCTCTCTGAACGTTTCCACCAAGGTATTTTAAGTTGGCTTTTTTTCTGTCGCCATAAAAGCTGAATGAAACAACTTCCACACTGAACTCTGTATTAGGGGAGACATCAGTCTGTGATCTTGGCTCGTCATCAGTCATCCTTTGCTCTGTAAAAAGCCGTTTTTTTATTCCCATGAGGCGGAGCTGTTTCTTCCAGTGACAGCACCTGTCAGGTTCATTATGTACACCATGGAAATAAATGACAAAGCACCTGAAACCACAGAGGGGGGAATGCCATGCATCTGTTAAGATGGGCAGAAATTATGGAAACCCGTTGGTACAGCAGAGGCCGCTAGCTGCTGCCCAGTGTTGAGTCTCACCCTTGTCCTCAAAAGACCAGATTCCCGAAGGAGTGGTAACAGACACAGCTATAAGACTGCAGCTTCCATCTTGCTGAGAGCAGCCATGACAGATGCCAGGGAATGCTGGGGGATTTCGAAGAAGACTGTCCTAGGGCAGCTACCTCAGCCAGGAGTGAGCTGTGTGGCCTCCTCCTTTCTTCTTGTCACAGAAACAAACATTGAAGTCCACAGACGTTAAGGTCAAGGTTGCGCAGAATGTTTCCAGAGCCTGTAGGTTTGATTCTTAGATAACCCACGTATATGCTCTTCAGAGGCCATTTTCGTTTTCCTGATTGTATGCAAGCCGACACTGCATATGAAAATCCATTCCTGGCTTTAGGGATGGGAACTATAAGGAGCTTAAATTAATTTTGTTTTGAATCCAAACAGTCATGTCCTTCTCTCACAGTGATAGAACTCTGTGTCACCCGACTGTGGAGGCTACATGCTTCTGGAATGCGTCCCTTCTACAGCCATCTATTTATATTCAAATATTTAAGTAAATATATTTTTAGTCTTTAAAAACATCAAAAGGAGTTCTGTCAATTTGCTCAACATTTTATCACAATAGTAAAATTGGTAGATGTAGGTCAGTGGTTCTCAGTGGGAGTAACTTGAACCATAAGGACATTTGGCAAGGTGTGGAGATGTTTTTGGTGGAGAGGAGCTTGCTGTGCCTTTCGTCTTTGTAGACATCAAGAGGGCAGGGTTGAGAAGAAGCCCAAGCCAAGGCTTCCGGTGGAGGTACGCTGAATGGCGCCCATGCCTTTCTCTGTTTGAAACGTCAAAGGCTGAAAACTCAGTCAAGATCTAACAGCTTCGTGCCCCTCCCTCACACAGCAGCTTTGCCTCCATGGCTGCAGGGTACGAATGAGTCAGAGCTATTTATGGTTTCTCAGGGGTCAAGGGGTGGCTTCGCGGATGGTGTGGCTTCCGTGAGAGCTTTTGCTTTGCGTCGTGGGCTTGCCTGCTGACTGAGCGCTCAGACTTCTAAGCACAGCCTCGGAGAACACTGCCCCGTCTGCCTGCGCAGCAATGCTGCGGTGACAGGAGCTCCACGATCTTTTCTTCCAGGGTCTCCCCACCTCCATTTCATGAAACCAGTTACTCGTGCCCATTGAGAAGATGAATGAAAAAATTCTAATGAAAAATAACCCACTCCCTAGGTTGGAGAGCTGGTCCAGTTGGCAAACTGCCTGTTACACAAGCACAAAGATTGGCGTTGGGCTCTGTTGTACCCACATGTAAAACCAGGCATGGTAGCATGCATCGGTACCCAGCACTGGGCAGGAGGGAGGTTGGAGAAGGGAGGCTGAAATGGAGGTGCAGACAGGTAGATACCTGAAATGCATTGGAGAGCTGGTCTAGCCGAATCCATGAGCTTCAGGTTCAATAAGAGACCTTGTCTCAAGTGATAAGGTAGAGAGATTGAGGAAGACACTCGACATGAACGCTTCTACATGCACACATGTACCCTCAAGTACTTATGCCCACACCTACATTAACACATCTATACACCACACATAGAAAGAAGGACAGGGGGGAAGAAGGAGGGATGGAAAGAGGGAGGAAAGGAGGGAGAAATGTCAGTTTTGGTTCTCAGACAATAAATGAAACGATTAAAGACTACAGTGGCTTCAGACAGTCACACTTCAGCGAAGAAGTACTTCTCTTTATTCTTCCGTGAATCTGCACAATACAAGTGTCTCGGAGCTGACTACAACCAATGAAAGCAGAACCAGAGAGCAGTAAAGCAGCATCGAATGCACAGGCTTCTGTGTTTTATATGGTAAGGAAGCTTTTAAGACTATTCTGATTCCTAGGAGCGGGCTTGGGGACTTAAACTAGGAAGAGCTTTGTGACCTTTTCTGGAGAGACATGAAAAATGCCTGTTCACCCCAGCAGAGCAGCGGCAGAGCCAGATTCTGTCCAATGTCGTCTTGGGGGTGGGATTCCTTATGAGCTTGTGGCTGACTCATAATCAAAACATCACCATTGGGAAGGCTTCAGGGTGATGTACAGGTGGCCACAGCAGTGAAGGGTCCCGTGAAGCAGCTATTGCTCTTGAACAACTGCAGCAACGAGGACTCGACAACACACAGGCAGGTACCCTACCAAAGACCCCACTCCTGTCAATCACACTCCTGTAGCCTTTGGAAAGGAGGAGTCCTGTAGACAAACCCATGGCCGTCATGAGCTTCCCTCCTTCATAAAGGAATGTGACGAGGCCCAGTCTCCCGAGGGTCTCATGCAGGTGATCACAGACACTGCTGTAAGACAGCAATGGTTTGACTGCACTTGGGAAATGTCTCCGGGAGGTCCCCGAGAGAAGCAGAATGTCTGATTAGCACCCCCAGGTGACTGAACAGGCTGAACGGTCCTGGCACAGACCAGCATGCTTCTAGCTCCTGAAGTAAGTTGTGGAAGGGATTTCCCTTCATGCCTTTAGCAACAGATAAATAATAACATTGGGAAAGGAATAACCTTGATTCTCTTCAGCAAAGGCAAAATCACACCAGATATCAATGACTAAATTGTCATTTAAATTGCAAGGAGTGAAATTAGGGAAATTTCACGCACTCAGTGCATAGTATTTGAGAAACCCATCACAAGGCATGGCTCCCAAGGCGCTCAGCAGAGAGAGCTGCAAAAACTCAAAATGCGGCTCAGCATCAATCATCATCCTTGAAAGCTCAGCAAAGAAGGTCCAGAACCAGGCCTGCAGAGTCCAACATCCAGTTAAGCAGGCATGGAGCCCTGGCCGCCAGTGGGCCGGCTCTCAAGAATGGTAGATCCTGCTGGGAGTCCATCACAAGATTCCCAGAAAGACTCTTTTACCTTTAGATTCAGGATCAGGAGGCTTGGGGTGGATGGTAGCGCCTGGCTCATTTGCTTACTCTTTTGCTTACGTCTTTTGTTCTTTAGAAACTTACTGTGTCTGGTCTTGACCATGACTGTGAAAAGATCCAAGATCCCCTCTGCCCTAGGGGATGACTGCACTGAGCTCAGACGGTGTCTGCACACTGAAATAAAAGCAAATCCTCACAGGCCAGCGTGTGCTCATCTGCTGGTAGGCTCTGTGCTCCCTCAGCAAAAGAGCAAAAGGGGCAGCAAGAAAGAAATATCTAGGTAGTACCTACAGTATGACTCCTACGCTGAAGTAGCCGGCACTGAGGAGAGTTTGACAATGGGTACTGGATATATATATCTATCTTATTTGATGGATGTCATTTATCTCTCTGAGGATTCCTACACATACACACCAGGGATCTACAGAGGAATCGGGAGGCAGACAACTCATTCTCCTTATAAATCTAGCTCTGTTGTGCAGTGTGCTCATTTTACCTCTGCCTTCTTCATCACATCTCTCCCCATCTTTTAGATTCACTGAGAGCTCACCAAGTCCTGGAAGTTGCTAATAAAAACCCAGGCAGGGACCGCACCTGCGGACAGCTCACTCTACCTGGCCGTCATAGCCCGCCTGGAAGGAACACGGGCCTTTCTGGGGAGCTGTAAATCACACGTTTATCTTGCCCGAGGGCAGCTTTTCTAAGCTGGAAAGAAATGAAGGAGGCAGCAAGTGGCAGGCAGAGCCAGGACAGACTCCCACGGAAGTGCCGGTTCTGCCCGCTCACCTGTGCTGGGGGACCGCCTGTGTGGGAGGAGCCACTTCCTGTTGAGGGTTCTGCTGCTTCAGAGCACTTCGCTGTTACATGGGAGAGACAAAATTTTGAGGAAAAATGAGCCAAATGAGAGCATTGCATAACTGGAACGACTGAAAACATCCATTTCTTTTTATGTATCCAAATGAGGGCAATAAAAATTAAGCACAGCCAGGGTGCTAGTGCGGGCTGTAATACTAGCACTGGGGGGGGGGGGGGCGGCAGGCGGATCCCCAGAGGCTGCTAGCAAGCCCTCAGTGAGCTCCAGGCCTGTGACAGCCTATGCCAACAACGTGGTCAGAATGGTGCGTGCACCTACACAGATAGTGCCTGCACACACACACACCACAGAAAGCACAGCCTGAGTTTGTATCATTTTCCAATAATGCCTTATTCCCATTTATGAGGTTTATAAAATTCACGCTCATGAATTCTAAATTGGACAACACAGAACCACGTTAGGGCTCTCATATGATGAGTCTACACAAGTGCATGTGGTCATGAGATCGCCACCAAGATGAAGGTGGAGAATAGTTCCTTTCTCCTCAGATTTCCAAGGGTCCCACTGAACCCACGCCCTCGCTCCCCCATCACTTGGCAGTCACTGACATCATTTCCTGTCCCTGGCGTGCCGTGCCGCAAGTTCGGGAGTGCACTGAGCGCTCAGCCTTCCTTGCGCACTGCGGATCGGCCACTTGCCGCAGGCTTTGTACCGCAGCGTGGCATGGCTCCGCTGCGTGTGCGATGATACGCCCATCCCGCTGCACAGCTGAAGGCAGGTGCGTCACGGAAATCAGGAAGGAAGCATCTGTAGGTCCCAGACCAGAGCTGTCCCATCAGAAGCACGCCCCTTTTCTTGGGTAAACAACCACTCAGGAGTAGGATTGCTCGGTGGTATACAGTTATGTGTTAAGTGTGTACTTCACGTGTAAGACAGACTCCCGTGTTTCCCAGGGCTGTCGGGCCACACTGCCTTCTGCTCAGTAAAGAGGCCGTCCTTCTTTCCAACACTGTCTTCCCCATCCTTCCAGCGTCATTGTTTTAAAATCTTGCCTCATGACAACCTGTTAATTAACAGGTTGTCATGAGATCCCATGTTGACTTCGTCTATTTGCCTTTTATATCTTTTCTTTCAGAAGCGCCTGTTCAAATCTTCCCCCCCTTCCTCCTTTGGTGCACCCCTGCACCTAGCTTCTTACGTGGGTGCCGGGACCCATAAACACACAGGTCCTTCCAAATGCACAGCCACTAATTTTCTCACAGACATTTCCCTCTGCTAAGTGCAGATTCCTACCAGGTACACACTTTTCAGCTATTTTCTTCGGTTCACTGGCTAGCATGTCCATTGGAACAGTATTTTTCTGTGAGCAGAAGCTTTAAATAGTGACAGTCAAGTGAATCAGAATTTCCCTCTTGTAGCTTGTGCTTTTGGTGTCTTATCTATAAAGATATACTCCAAACTCAAGACATTTTAGGACTTTTCTAGTTTAGCTTTTATATTTGGGTCTATGATACAATTTTAGTTAGTTCTTGTCTATAATGGGATATGGTTTGAGACTCACATTTTACTTCTTTCTTTATCCTTTGGGATTTTCATAATGTGCACGTCACTCGCTCACACCCATCCCTACGCTTTCTCCAGCTCCCCTCTAGTCCTTTAACAAATCCTCTCTGAACTTCACATTCTCATTTCTTATTTTTCAATTAAAAGAAAACCTCCAAGCCTCAATTAGTCACCAATTAGTTCTTCATATATGGGCAGTGCTCATCATTTTGTTTCTTTCTGACTATCTACTTCCAACATAACTTGCTGAAAATTCTCTTGTGTTTACTGAATTACTAACTCAGTCTTGCCCAAAAAACCAAATGATTGTGTTCATGCCTTTGCATGGTGTCCAATTGTTCTATATGTATCCTTTCACTGCTACAAGAGTTTCTTGATCAGCATATTTCCTTTATAGTAAGATTTAGATTTGCACAGTGTGAGTTCTGTATCTTTGCTCTTCTCAGTATTTTTTTATTTTCCAATATATATTGTTAAATTAATTTGTACAACAAAATTCTGTTAAACTTTTGATTGGCATTGTGTTAAATCTATATATCATTTTGAATATGTTTTTATAATTTAACTTGATTACAAACTTATAGAAATTACACGAAACTCAAATTTCAGTGCTCATAATAATTTAGACACAGACACAGTCATTTACTTCTCTGTTGTTCGTGGGCTCCTTCACGCTGTAAAAGCAGTATTTTGTATTTATAAGAGACCACACATATTAGTCAAAGCTTTAAGCAGTTATGGTCTGGCCTGTTACAGGAAGACTGTGCTGGCCCTTCCTGTAGACTGTGGGTTCGAGAGCACCCTGCCATCTAGTACAAGCTCTATGGCTATAAATTTGCCCTAGAGCGCTGCTTTAGCTGAGTTTCATGCATTTTCATATCCTGCGCTTTTACTCATGTCATCATCCACAGTGTTTTATAATTTTTCCTTGTGATATAATCTTTGTACCACTGGGTATGTAAATGTATTATTAAGTTCCCAAGTGTTTATAGATTATCTATATATGTCTTAATGATTGATTCATAAGCTTAATTCTTCACTTTATTCTCTCCTGTTCTTTGGGATATTATCAGGTTTTAGTTTTAGGTATCATAAGAGTCACCGTATGTTTTCAGTTTGGCTTTATGCCACCTTTTGTGTTATAATGGAGGAAAAGAAAAATGTCTCTTACAGATGTTTATTTTGTTGTTATGTTTAATTTTGAGACTGTAATTCAATTACAGTGTGTCTTCCTTTCCTCCTTCCAAATCCTTCCATGCGCTCCTCCCAAGTCTCCTTTCAATTCATGGCCTCCTCTTATATGAATGTGCATATGTAGATACAGGAGTATTTCTAACATGTTGAATCCATATGATGTTACATGTGAGTTTGATTTCAGGGCTGACTGTCTGGACAGCCAGTTGGTGTGCTCCCCCTGGGGAGGACCACTTCTCTGCTCCCCACTCTTCTCAGTTATCTGCAGTTCTTGTTTAGGGTTGGGGCCTTGTGAGCTTTTCTCTGCAGTGGGCATGCTCACTGGTGGTGTCCTTGTTCAGCTCATGTGTGGGCAGCCAAGTTGGTGAAACCTTACGGGTGTAGCTTCTGATGTCACTAGGAGACGTAATTTCACAACAAACTTTCTGGTCCTCTTGCTCTTATGGTCTTTGCATTCCCACTTCCACACTTTTACGGCCACTTTGATGTGGACTTTCTGGCAGTTTTCAGTTGCCTTCTTTTGTTTGCTTTCTGTTGAGAACCGTGCTATCTTTCTTTCCTTTGCTCCCTGTACACCAGGTGCCTGCTCTTTTTGTTCCTGTCCTACCCAGGATTCCTGTGTGTCTTTTTCTTTCTCTCAGTCTTTCTCATGAACATCACCATGTGAATGCTTTGCAGAGATTACAAATGTGTGTACATACCTTTGTCTCTGGTTGGTCTTTAAGAATGGATAAAGAGCTGGTGAGTTCATACCAAAAACATGTGCTGTCCAAGTCTGGAGACCTGAGTTTGATCCCTGTAGTCAGCTCCTGAACGTTGTTCCTGCCCTTTTCTCATATACAAATAATAATACTGATGATGATAATAACAACAATAAAATGATAATAAAATAAAAACTATCAAATTAAATTTTAACTTCTTTCTTATGACCATTTAGAATCTGTCTTTCCCTCCCTCTGTCTTTCCCTCCCACACTTTGCTGGGGCTGACATTTCTTCCATCTCATTGAAAATCTGTTTAATTTGTTGCTGTGCCACTTTAGGTCTCTGATAATTTGTGCAGTTATGATGTAGAATTTAAATACAATTCCAACACTGACTTAAAACTACCATCAGGATCTGACGAGATCAGGCGTGTTCAGGGAGGTATGGCCATGGGCCACATCAGGATCATTTAGAATCTTCAGGAGAAGCAATTCTCCCGAGAATGAACCGCCTCTTCTATAGCACGCGTTGTATTCCATCACTCCTCAATCCCATGACAGGCCGTAAATACGATCTTAAAGCCGTGTCAGCTCTTCCAGGACTGTCGTCATCTTACAACAGGTGAAAGAGTGATTGATCACAGGAAAGCAAAGGAATTCTTGAACAGGGGAACCAATGAAGTCTGGAAGTCCGAACACGTGTTTTATCCTTCAGATAACTGTTTTGAAATGGGGTATGCGTGGAAGGCAGTTTTAATTATTTGCTCTTTAAAGTGCCTCCGTCACGCCCTCCTTGCGGAAGGCTGCCCGCTGGCCTCCACACTGCAGCCCGCCCGCCCGCAGTGACCCACCCCAGGGTGCTTTGGCTAGGGGGTGCGCGAGCACAGTGGGGCGGAGAGAGGCTGGACTTGCTGGTTTAGGGGTTCATTCCAGTATGTACTGCTTCTCCTTTCTTAAAATACATGGAATGAGAAGAAAAAATAGCAGTTGCCAGTAATAAGCTTTGGGTAATGAGTGTGAAGTTGAGAGGGGACCAGCGAGGGAGTTTCTACACCAGCCATTAATCCCACAGTTCCCTTAGCTGCCGGCCGCCTCCAGCACCTGACAGAAATACGTGGACCGCAAACGCATTTCTAATTTTTCTAGGAGCCACATTAAAAAATATAAACCACTTAATGAAAATTTAAATACCGCGTGTTCTGTTTAGTCTCTTGAAACTAAAATATTACTCTTTGAGCCTGCAATCGGCATAAATTATTGAAGGGATTACATTTTCTTTCGGTGTGGCGCGTGCTTGAGACGCCTGCGCACTTCACTCACTAGGGCGGCAGCGTTGGCCAGCACAGGGCCGCCTTCTTGTCAGTTCCCGGCTCTCTTCATAAGAGGGGCCACGAAGCCGACTATCGCCTGTGGATGTCTTAGTGCTTCAATTTAACGTGTAAGAAGCAGAGGTGCCTTTCTGGGATAGGGTTCCAAGACTGTGTGTCTCTTCTTTACCAAACAATAAACTTACGGGAAAAAACAGTTGAGAAATGGAGACAAATGGATGAGAAAAGATGAAACCATGAAAGACAGTTAGAGAAACGGCAACCCCTGGCATTGGGGATGCTCTCTTTTCGAAAGCTCATTTGTAATTGTAGCTCGGCTTGACTTGAAGTCACACAAGCCCACTCAGCGAGGGGTCACGTGCTCGCCCCTCCCCCACACTCATCTGCTGCTCCTCTGCAGGTTGCTAGGCTGGGGGGGCCGCTCCCAGAATATTCCGTGACAGATGGTGGGATTACACAGGAAACACACGGAGGGAGAAGGCGAGGCGGCCGCCACAGGCGGCAGCTTTCCTGGGGGGCAGGGGAAGGCGGCTCCCTGCCGGGGTAGGCAGCGCCCACGCGCAGGTCCCCCTTGCTGACTCTCCTGGCTGCTGCTTTGGTAGGGAGGGGACCTGTGAACCAGTGTTTTATCCCACGCTCACGGTGGGGCTGGGCTGTCACTCTCCCCAGCGTGCGGACCTGACGCGAACAGCCCGACCCTGGGAGGGAGGCGTCGTTGGGCCAACTGGCAGCAGGGGCTCTGGCTCCGACCCGGCCCCCAGCGTCTCCTTTCTGCTCAGAGGCTGCAGGGAGCAGATGGAGAGAGGCCGGAAGCACCGCCACCTCACGCACGGCCCCCGGCCCCCAGGCGGGGAGAGGAAGGGCCGCATCCCTGCCCTGCTGTCCTTAGCAGCGCCTTCTGGAAGGAGGTTCGGCCCTTTCCTCAGCCGCCCCCACCCCAAGGTAAGGCGGCCCGACTGCGGGGGTTGGAGGCGGCGGCTGCTCAGTGCCGCTCCGTTCTCCAGGATGTCTGCTGTAGCCTCCCCTGCAGCCTTCTTTGTCCTCTAGTTCCCGGTCCTGCCTTCTCCCGGGAGCACCCGCCTTCCCTGCCACCAAGTTTTAGAAAAGCCCCAGGAAGTTCCAGTAACACGAGGCACGTGCTGACCTCGTTTCAGACGCACGCAGCGAAGAGTCCGAGGAGCTCTCTTGTAGAATTAAAGTAGAAGAGTAGTTAAGTCAGAGAAATAGGGTTCTTTTAGCCTCGTCTCTCGCCTTTCCCACACTCCTCTGTAGGAGCCGGCTCACGCCCTGCACATGCGCAGTCGACAGCCGGCGGCGCGCTCGCCTAGATCCTCTAGTTTACTGTGCGGTGTGAACGAGTCAAGCCCGTTTGCTAAGATGCCCTTTAAGGGCGGAAGCGTCTGAATACAGATTCCCGTCCACAGAGAGAGGGGTGGGAGCGGCAGTGAGGCAATCCTCCCACAAGTGACCATTCCCCTTTGCGCAGAGCCCCAACATCTATCCCGGAACCTCTTGCTGTAATCAGCAACGCCCCCCTGAGGTTCACCCACGGAGACAGTCCATGGTCCGCGAAGACTGCTGGGGTTGAAGGATCCTGGGTCGGCACTGAAATGCGGGGCAGAACCTCCAAAGCACCATATCCCAACCTGCACCTCACTCAGCCGCCCTGACGGTGACCTGAGTGTAGACCAGGCCTGTGTCATTGACCTCCGCCAGCTGCTTAGAGCTGCCCCTCTCATCCTCGGCCTCGGGTCCCCACAGCCGGTGCTCCTTTGGTTGGGTGTAACTGGATGAGGGTTCGTCTCCCGGCTTTGTTCTGCTTCTTCATTGTCCAGGGTATTGTCTTGGCTTGGTTTACAGGGGAGATACTAAGATTCGCGGCCTCGAGTGTCCTAACATCGCTGGGGCGAACAATGCCTGCCGGTTGGTGCCTGATTGTGCTGTCCAGCTAGCTGTTTAAAGACAAGCTTTCTGGGGAAGTGTGTGTGTGTGTGTGCGTGTGCATACGTGTGTGTTTATTAATTTTACTGATGCACACTATTTCTAGATATTGATAAACAGTTAAACATTTTGATCTTTCTATAAGCAATTGAGTCACAAAAAAGCTTCACTGATTTTTGCCAGACCCCAGTGTCTGTAGCCAACTTACCACTGCCATTCGGCCTTGATTTGACAAAGAAAGCTGCACCCTAAATTCAAGACTTCTTCTTATTACATTTCTCGTCATTAAAATTAATATCTGGCCCGCTGTTTAAATTATTTCTCATCCTCCAAGAAACTGCGCTAATTGAACCAAAGCCACTTTCAATTCGCCATTGCATATATCGGCATTTTACTCATTTGTCAATTATACAGGCAACTTCTTTGCTGAATTGAAGATTTTTTTTTTTTGAGTATTAAGAATTTTTTTCACCAAGTATGCTAGCCAGAATGTGATAGCTGATACATGATATATTTTTTCTATATTCAACCTATAAAATTAGCATTCTGTCAATTAGCCTCTTAAGCCTAGACTAAGGATTGGCAATTTTTTTTTTATCTAATTGATGAAATAATAAGCATTTTGGATTTGTGGGTCATAGGCCTTTGTCAACTCTGTGCTGCTTTGCACAGTTTCCTAAAAGCAGCCACGGGCAACAGGAAGGAAAAGGATATTCTAATGAAGCTTTGTAATAGTCTGCTCATTTTTACTTTATAATTTTACGTTACAAAACTACCCATAGTTTATAGTTTGCAAATTGACAGTTTATTAATCCAGCCCTCATTTGTGGGTTTGCCAAACTGGTTGAATAAAAACTCCCATCGTGATCACTGTCACCTAATGTGGAGCTGAAGAGAGGTGTGCTGCTTTTTAAGTATTTGTTAACTAAGTCTCCTGAGGCCATACTAGTTTATCCTACGTCACCACTCAGTCCGCACAGCCCTTCTCCTCCAACACTGTATCACTAAGCAAACATGCTGCTTAGAATGAAAATGGCCTTCAAGCTCGTTGTATTTTTATCTGAAACAGTGTTTTATTTTTTTCCTACGTACCATCTTAATGTACACCATGTACAATTTCTCATCTGGCAAATGAGACACAAAGCAAAACGTCCTTGGTGCTCGTAGAATCAAGAGCAGTCACCTGTCTCGGGGGCTCAGTTTCTTGCGTCGCGTGGGATGCTGTTGGTGCGGGTACCAGTGTTGCTGTTAGTGAGGAGCAAACTGCCGAGCTGTTCTGTCTTGGGACTTGCTCAAGTTGTTTGCCTTTTTCTTCCAATTTGCTTTTTAGCACTTGCCCGTGTGTTTCTTCGTTATTGTGCGAAGTTTCTGGTTGAGGGCTGGGTTGGTGTGTTTGTGGGGGATGTCCATAGAAGGGCGGAAGCACACTACTATCCTGGCGTCAAAGCGAGCGCTACTTTGCAGTTGTAGTCATCTGGAAGAGAAGAATATGTAGATTTATGACAAGCAATAGATAAAGCTCCATTTCAGACTGGAAATAAATACTTCCAGACACTTCTGTTGGATATGACCCATTTTACTGCCACTGCCGTGATTCTTATCAAGTGATTTGAAAAGCGCTATTGTGAAGAGAAAATGCCTCTAAAATCTGCCTCTAGGTTTTCCTTCTTGGGGCCCGCCATCCTTACTCTATGTTGATATGTATACGTATGTGTGCATATTTGTGAGTATATGTGCGTATGAATGCATGTGAGGACGTGTGTTCATGTGCATGTAAACGTGTTTATGCATGTGGGTGTCTATGTATGTGCAGGAGTGCATTTATACACGTGTATAAAATACATGTTCATGTGAACATGTGTGTGCATTCGTATGTGTGTCTTCGAATGTGTGTGTGTGTGTACGACTGGAATCTATACGTGTGTCCCTGTGTTTGTAAATATATATCTGTGGCATATAGGTGTATGTGTGGGTGCATGCATATGTCTGTGGTTTTATTTATATACATGTGTATATGCAACATGTGTAGATATATGTCTATGCATGTCTGTGATCTATTTGTGCCATTCAGGATATGTTTTATTTTTATTTATTTATTTTTTATTTTTTTTGAGGATATGTTTTATTAAAAAATATTTAATATATAAAAAAAAAAGATGTGAGCTCTCAGCCGATGCTCCAACCTCCTGCTGGCACACCTTTGTTCCATGGTCATATACTTTAACCCTTTGGAACTGTCAGCCCCACTAAACTTTGCCTCTTAGGTGTTGTCTCTGTTGTTTTATCATAGCAATAGAAAAGAAACTGATGCAGAGTGCATCTGTCATTGGTAGGTATTTTTTTCTGAGGCAGTTGGAATTGTTGGAGACTAAATATTCTTGAGTTGTGTATCCTGCTCAATACATAAGTTTGCCAATATTTAAACTTGCAATGCAATGAGGTCTAACATGCATCTAATTTCAGATTTGTTACATACTTTACAGGAATGCATTCTCTGTGTTTTAAGCATGCTATGACTGTGGGTTATCTTCCCTCAGACGAGCTATATGCAAATAACCGTGACAGCACGTGAACATTTAGTGCACAACCTTTTATCAACCATTTTAAAATTAACTAGAGTACAGTTGAGTGAAAACCAGTGTAAATATGGCATAGATCAGGGGCCCTTATAAACAATGTTCCTAAGTAAAGGGACCTAGTTCAATGACTGGTGCTTGCTTTAGATTCAGAAAAAAGGCACGTTCAAGTCCATGCTTTGGTAGTTAATAATGTATGTGCATTCCTTAGCTCTCAGTTTTCTGCTAGGTAAACTGGGTCCCAAAGTCGCAAGGCGGTTAGGTTGCATAGAGAAACACTGTCTCAAAACAAAACAAAAAAGTGTGACATCTCATAGTGTTGATCCATCCATACAAAGCCTCCAGGAAGTGGCAACTGTTACAATTACATGCATTGCTTTAAATTTCCTGATCATGAGGTTGATGCCTGCAATCCACACTGTATAATGGTCCCATAGTTAGTTTGGGACTCATGTATTTTGACATATATATTTGACATACATTGGGTACTAGTAGTAAACAAAACAATCCTAAACCTGTAAGGTAAATTTGTAGTTACAAAATGTCATGTGGTAAACTAAGTTTTACCTCCATTTTGAATAGATGCATGATGGGACTGGAGAGATGATTCAACAGCTAAGAATGCTTCCTGCTCTTCCAAAGAAGACAGGTTCAGTTCCCATCTCCCACACAGTAGCCCACCACTATCTGTCACTCCAGTTTCTGGGGATCCTATGCCTCTTCTGACACCTACTGGCTGGTGCACCTACATGAGGCACAAACACTCAGCCCCCCCCCCCACATATACACATACAATTAAATGAATAAACTCTAAAAATAAATAGATTCAAGAAGCCAAATTCAGCATATTGCTACTTGAAATAATGTGAACTGCCCAGTGTTTCTGCTAAATCTGTCTGGGATGCCCTGTCACAGCTGACTAGCCCTTGCTTTCCTCCAACTTTTCTCTTTCCTGTTCTGTCCCAGCAACAGATGGAAGCAGCGTTGTCTGTGTACTAAAATTATGGTACTTGTTGTTCCTTGGTCTTCTGTGGTACATTCTGTACCTCCTATACAAAGTTCTTTAGAAATAGTTCTTTGTCAACCTCAACAGAAAATACAGAAAAGTACAGTCTCCTGTCCTCATGAGGTTTGACATAATGGCGATATAACATGAAGACAGCCATTGGCATTGTCATGTGTTGGTTGTCTTTTCCCAGTGATGTCATTATTTCCTGAAGGTATTAATAGTAATGCCATGAACATATTGAAACTTAGCTTTCTTAATGGGCATTGAAACTTTCCAAGTTCCCATTGATATGATCAAGACATATATTTTAACTTTGATGCATACAGCAGAAAGCAAAACTCATGTCCTTGACCATCCAAGAATTGCTGATGACCTAAAACCCATGTCATAATTAATGATGAATCTACTAGCTAACT